ACAGCTGCTCTAGAGAAAAAAATGATAGAGCTACATCAGCCAATTAGTTAAGTTTGTTCAGCTAAGTACCGCATACCTTAATTAACTAATTCCACTACTTTGGAGTAGACCCAAGGCACTTGTGTTGACTAGACACCACTTTGGGGATACTGGGTTTTCTTCCCAGCCTCAGAACTCTCTATTGCAGAAGTCCAAGACTCAAAAAGCTATCAGTACCACCACCTCAAAAGCCAAGAATGCTATGAAGGAGAAATGACAGGAAAAAACATATTTTGAAATTTAAGTAACTGAATTTTTTTTATTACCATGCCAGGCTCATAATGCCAGATTTTGGGAGAAAAATTTCAATGTTTAGTAGGGGAACAACCACAGGAATGCCCCTTACTCCATGTCACTGAAGTGATTCAACACAGGCAAATTTGTCAGCTGTGATCCCACTTGGTTTTTTGCTCTTTTTGCTCCAATTATATACCGATTCTTGACCTCAGGAGACAATTTCTGTCCATCTTCTTCCCCCACCCCCCATTTTCTAGAACTTTTGGGACACTTTTGTTATGATTTATGACAGGCACAGACAGGAAGTCCCCCTATTATTGTAGGATGGACTCTGACATACATCATTATCTTTCTGTTTTCAAAGTTTCTATAAATGGGGTGGGGGGCTGCATGGGATAATGTTCTATGTAACCCCTCATGGTCCACTCACAGTTCTTAAAACATTAGGGAAATACAATTCATCCATGGTAAAATGGACCCAATTCTCCCCTGCAGCTGATACCTGGTAAAGTAGGTTGGGAAGGAGTTACTATCATGACAATAGTATCAGAATTAAGATTAAGTAATAATCATGAATATGAAAGAGTTGTTCTGTGTGTTCAGCTTGTTTCCAGCCTCTAGTGACTGTAAGAGAAACAAATTATGGGGGATGGGTTGCCATTGCCTTTGTCTGAAGATAGAATCATAGAGTTGGAAGAGACCTCATGGGCCGTCCAGTCCAACCCCCTGCCAAGAAGCAGGAATATTGCATTCAAAGCACCCCTGATGAGAGAGTATGACTTGCCCAAGGTCACCCTGTGTTTCATGGCTAAGCTGGATTCAAACCCTAGTCTCCAGTGTCATAGTCCAATACTCAAACCACAACACCATGGAACAGTTACAGATGTATAGATGAGTAAATCTAGGTAAAGGTTCTGACATCACTCTTCTGTATCTCAGATAAATAATGCTGAATTATTAAGGGCACAAAATCTATGCCTTTTCTGGGTGTTGGGGGACTACCCCTCTCATTGTCAGCTATAAGGGAAGCAATAGTCCAACATCTGGCATAGAATCATAGAGACAGAAGAGACCACATAAACCACCTAGACCAACCCCCTGCCATGCAAGAAAAGCACAAAGTACCCCTGACAGATGGCCATCCAGCCTTTGTTTAAAAGTCTCCAAAGGAGGAGTTTCCATCACACATCAAGGCAGAGAGTTCCACTGTTGATTGTGCTTTTCCCGCATGGCAGGGGCTTGGACTAGATGGTCCATGTGGTATCTTCCAACTCCTATTCTATGATTCTATTAACAGCTCTTACAGTCAGGAAGTTCTTCCTAATGTTCAATTGGAATCTCCTTTCTGTAATTTGAATCTATTACTAATCCCTAGGGCTTCAGAAAACTAGCCTGCTCCCTCCTCCTTATGACATCCTTTTGAATATTTATGCATAGCTTGGCTATCTTATTTCCTTTCACCTTCTCTTCTGCAAGCTAAACATACCCAGCTCATTAAGACACTTCCCATTTACTTTTTTAGCTGCTGCATCACATTGTTGACTCGTGTTTAGCTTGTTGTTCACTAGGGCTCCAAAATCTTTTTCAATGTTCTGTTGTCGAGTCAAGCATCACTCATTCTGTATCTTTGCGTATTTTTTCCTATCTAAGTGAAATATCCTACACTTCTCTTTGTTGAAATTCATTATGCTAGTTTTGGCCCAGCTCCCTAATCTGTTGAGATCATTTTGAAATTTAATCCTGTCTTTTCGAGTATTAGCTATCCCTTCTAATTTTGTGTCATTTGCAAACTTGATAAGTATGAGCACTAAAAATTACCCAAATCATTAATAAGGATCTTGAAGAGAACTGGGTAACCACCCTTTGGGTTTGGTCATTCAACCAATTACAAATCCACCTAACAGTAGTATTGCCTAGCACACATTTTTCTGCTTTGTTTTCAAGAAGATCATGGGGGATCTTGTCTAAGGCTTTACTGAAATCAAGATATACATCTACAGCATTCCCTGCATCTACTAAGTTTGTAACTCTATCAAAAAAAGAAATAAGATTAGTCTGGCATGACTTGTTTTTGAGAAATCCATGTTGACTTTTAGTGATCACAGTTTTCTTCTCTAAGCAATTACAAACTGCCTCTTTAATTATGTGCTCCAGAATCTTTCCTGTTATTGATGACAGGCTGACTGGATGGTAATTGTTTGGGTCCTTCTCTTTTCCCCTTCTTAAAGATAGGGACAACATTTGCCCTCCTCCAGTCTGCTGTGACTTCTGTTCTCCAAGAATTCTCAAAAAATATTGCCAGTGGTTCTGAAATGACTTCTGTTAGTTTCTTCAGTACTCTTGGATGTAGTTCATCTAGTCCTAGTTGAATTTGTTAGAGTAGCCAGGTATTCCTTGGCTACTTCTTTGTCTTTTTGAGGTTACATATCCCCATATTTCTCAGGTTGAATAGTGAGTTCCTTTTTGGGAAAAACTGAGGCAAAGAAGGTATTGGGTCATTCTGCCTTTTCCCTAACCCCTGTCCACATAGAGGTCCTGAAAAATTACGTGAGAGCGTTTGAAAAAGATGGATTGAAACTGGATGCCACTGCAAATAAATTTTAAAATGTAAAGAGAATAACTAAGAACTAAATAACTAAGAACACTAACCACAAAGATAGCAATAGTGAAAATAATATGATAATGCATTGTTTGTTGTTATGCACCTTCAAGTCCAATCATAGGATTCTCTGACAAGAGTTATTGAGAAGAGGTTTGCCTTTACTTTTTTAGGCTGAGGGCCCTTCCACACAGCCCTATATCCCAGAATACCAAGGCAGAAAATCCCACAATATCTGCTTTGAACTGGGTTATCTGAGTCCACAGCCATATATTCCAGTTCAAAGCAGAAAATGTGGGATTTTATTCAGCTGCGTGTAAGGGCCCTGAGAGTGTAGTTTGCCCAAGATCCTACTATCAATTTACAACTATTAGTTCATTTTCTTAACCTGTATTATCTTATCCTATCTGATCTTATAGCCCTGTATCAGTAAGGATTGTCCAAATCATCATTTTTTTCCATTTAGTTGATAGAAGGAATCTCAATATATTTGAAACATTGTGCTGAGGAAGAGTTCCATTAATATTGTGGACTGCTGGAAAATGGGTCTTAGAGAAAATAAAGCCTGAACTATTCCTATAATCCAAGATAACTAAACTGAGACTGTCAAACTTTGGCAATGTCATGAGAAAACATGACTCACTAAAAGAGATAATAACACTTGGTAAGGGAGAAGGCAAAATGAGTGGGAAAAGAGGAAGACCAAACCACACGTGGATAGACTCAGACCCCTTCTACAAAACTGTATAAAATCCACATTATCTGTTTTGAACTGGATTATCTGGCAGTGTAGACTAGGACAATACATCTCAAAGCAGATAATGTGAATTTTCTGCTTTGATAATCTGGATTATCTGGTGGTGTAGAAGGGACCTCAGTCAAAGAAATCACAGCCCTGAGTCTGCAAAACCTGAGCAGGGTTGTTAATTTCACTCACAAGGTCAACATAAGTCAAAGCTGTCTTGATGGCAGTTAACAACAAATGATCTTGTAGCAATTAAATGGGAGCTGACACCATTAAAATAGCTTGGTCTAAATCCCATGAATAATTCCAACTAGAGTAAACCCAATGAATGAATTGTTAAATAGTGAATCAATACTTCTGTAAATCTTTTTGATCCAGTAGGTCTACTCTAGCAGAGATTTCTAGTAGGAGTTAGGCATTTAAAAAATGATGTAAGGTGTAATGGCATTTGATCCATGATAGATTATTCACATAGACATCATCCCTGGATATTGCAGTCAAGTTATGAACATGCATGTGTTAACAAGCCCTCTGACAGGAGTGTCATTGAGAGTTCTCACCACTTCTGTCACTGTGACAAGTAATACATAGATACTTTCCAAGGATATAGTTTTCATATGAATTTTTTTAAAAAAAAAATAAACTTTTTAGGTAATCCCCATTTTAAATATCTCATGGTTGGAGATTATGAAAATGATGTTTTAAATATTTTAAAACATTTAAAAGGGATGTAGATCTACAGAACAGTCATGTTTGCCTAGCCAAAGAGTTTTACAGAGCTTAATTTAAAATATACAGAATAAAATTTTACAAAGAGCAAGATGGTGAGTAGTTGGTGGAATGTGAAGAAATGTTTTGGGGAAAGTTAGAGCAAAGTATGCACTCTGCAATCCAGTTATCACCTTAGTGTGTGCTGTTGACTGGTCCAAAAATATGATCAAATCTACCTTGAAAGTATCCACATAGGACTCATTTTGTGAAAATATTCTCATGACTGCGCCAAGGCATTTCGCTGTTTGAGTAAAAGACTATCTGGTCCCGGATGGGTATATGTAAGAAATATAATTGGTGACTTACTTGCTGTAATGTACAGTACTTAACAGTAAGATTTTTTTTTCCCCAAAATAATCAACAATAGTGATGACAGCAAGTAGGACAGCAAGTAGGAGGGGAAGAAGACATGGCACCATTAATACTGCATCATGGATCTCCCATATTGTTTATTTACAATATTCATATAATAAAGCAAATTCAAATTCCTTCTGAACAAATGCTGGCAAAAAAAACATTATAGGTTCCTTTAGGGTCATGAATAATCAGAAATTACTAGAAGGTAAACAACAATAACAACAACAATCCTAATAACAGGTTGTCTACAACTGGTCGAATACCGCTCAAGATTTTTTTCTGATAGAGAAGCATATTATACCAGTATAATTCAGAGTTAAGTTGGTTCTGACCTTTCCATTCACACATCTGTTTATAGAATGGCATACATGTATCTTAGACTTATAGTGAACCATATTTTCATCAGGATTGTTTTTCAATAGTACAACTTTGGACTGTGAGCAGAGAATCAAATATCTAGGTGCTTCAGCAATTGTACACATTCAAAACTAGAGCTCAGTAAGAAGGGCTCTAATCTGATGGTTAGACAGCTAATTAACAAGTCTCAGGGTGCAGTAACTGGAGACCATTTTGGCCTGCATCTTCTCTTTGCCTTAAATAGGGTTATACTTAAGCTGGGGAAATCATTTATCACTTGCAGGTCAAAGACCTTTTTAAATCGGTCCACAAACTGGTTTTCTTTCTCCTGCCTGAACCTCATGGCCCAGATGATGACTGTGTTGTTCTTACACAAGTGATCAAAGGTAAGAAACAGTTCCTCCAGGTAAGGGTGGTGGTAGACAACATCTGCCGCTAAAATGTAGTCAAACTGGCATGAAGACTTGGGGAAATTCTTCTCTAAATCCACCCCCCAGAATAGTTCTTTCACCTGCGGTTCATGTTTGCATTTCATCTTGCTGTTTTTAAGAACATTGTACTGAAGGTTTCCTATCAATTCAGGCAAGTCTGTTGCAATCACATGTGCACCTGCAAGAAGGAACCACAGAACGAAAGTCAGTCTTAAGGACAATTGAAAAGGCACAGCAAATTTGGCTTTGCAGAAATTAAGCATAATTAAATTCAAGAATCCACTACTGCCTAACCTGACAGATATAGGAATGTCATATGTCCAAGTGGCGAAACTGCAAAGAAACATTAGTTTTCTTTGGATAGGAGAGAAAGAACAAGACTGTACTTCCAAGTAACGACGCCATCACATTGGCAGTAGGTAGCGGCAGCACTCCTCTCTGTAGTGAGGCATGGGTAATCCGGTGACCCACACCACACCTCCCCTCATCACACATCACCCATTGGAAGGCCAATCGCATGGGGGGAAGCATAGAGAACATGTGGTTCGTGTGGCTTCCCCCCTTACATCTGCTAACACGGGAGGCATCACTTGTTGCCTGGGTGGAAGCGGCAAACCGGTTCCGCCCCTCTGCATCCACAGAGTTGGCACAACATCATGTGAATGGAGCCGGCTGGCTCCATGGGTGACCAGGGCTAGATTGGCATTTGCCACCAAATCTAGCCCAGTCTGATGAGGTTGTTAGTGTGCTTTAAATTGTAATTATTAGTTGCAATTAATAATTGTATGTATAAAAGCAAATTGCACACATAGGATATCCACCCTAGATTGGAACAATGGTGTCAGGCCTCAAAAGTTTTAACTCTTCTCTTGCCATACAAAGTGGAGTTTCAGGATTAAAATCCAAACCTTCACCAAGAAGCAAAAAATCCATATCAGGTTCCTGAAAATTTGTTTGATTCAGAATTTAGTTACTTGACTTCATCTCATTAGCAAGGTGGTCTTCAATCAAACTAATTTTTGATCTAACAGGCTTTGGATCCACTTCTTGCTTTATGTTTTAGATAATATGAACATTAGACAAGGTATTTTTGAAACAGAGAGCATGGCTAAATACTATGGTTTGTACATACCAAGTAAGCTGGCTACTATGGAGACCAGACCGGTTCCAGCTCCAATTTCAATAACATTTTTGTCATCTATATTATATGATTTCACATTCTTTTCCAAAAAGTGGCATAGAACAAGAGCCTGAAGAAACAAAACAAAACAAAAGACAATGAATAGTAGATTGACAAGGAAACTGTACAGAAACACAAAAATGAAAATAAATTGTTTTATAATCAACAAAAAGAGAAGGAGCCATGATAGAGCTTAGACTTGTTTACACTTCCAAAGAAAACCCAATTTGTTTACTCTAAATGGAAGGCTCATTGTCCCCACAATACACAGAATCCTCTGGTGAGTATCCTGTTTTGTTCTTTGCTTTAAACCATATTTGGGGGGAAATCAGGGGCTACTCCAGAGTTCGCTGAAAACTCCAGAGCTTCAGAGCAATGTGGACAATGGAATCAGATCCAATTCAGTCGAAACCACTCTCCAGATGGGACATTGGTGCCACCACCCTTTCCCTGAGGTTATTAACAAAGTGAAAGGAGATGTATCTTGCCCATTTTTCCATGACTTGTTTGCCAAGGAGTACCATCCAAGCTCCTGGCCATCACATGGACGCTGCTGACATCATAATGGGGCACCTACACAATCAGAAAGAAGGGAGGCAGAGACACCCATGTAACTCAAATGAAGCAGCATCAGGGATAAGGAGGAGGTGAGATGTGAGCCACCCCAACAAAGCGAAGATACTCTCAGGCCAGCAAAACAACAGCCCCAGCTTCAGCACACACCTTCCAGTCTGACCCAGGGCTAATTTTCACAAAGCTAAACTGTCTGGGATAGATGATTCCATAGTGAAGATTTGTACAATTAGGAAGGTATATACTGGTTTTCAATTGAGTTTAAGTGTAATGTTTTTTTAAATGATTTTACAAATTTATATGTAGTAATTAGTTATTGATTTCTTTGGGTACTGTATATTGGCATTGAATCTTTGCTACTGGTATGTTGTAAACCACCTTGAGTCCCCCCAAGGGTGAGAAAGGTGGTATATAAATGCTATAAATAAATAAATGCTGTATGTGTACATGTGTATAATGAAAGGAAATGGCACAGCAGTTTAAATGAATAATCATGTCCTTTGACATGTTTGACATATGAAAAGAGCTTGTACCTTTAATAAAGGGAAATCCAAAGGTTCTTGGTATAGGCAATGATTCCCAACCTTTAGTCCTCCAAGTGTTTTGAACTTCGACTCCCACAGTTCCTAACAGATAGTAAGCTAGCTGGGATTTCTGGGAGCTGAAGTCCAAAACAACTAGAAGACTAAAGGTTGGGAACCACTGTTTTAGAGTACTAGTGTAACCTTTTTGTCCTTCACATGTTTAGGGCTATAACTCTCTTAAATACCACAGCATTATTAGGATGCTATTTAGAACATCCAAGAACCAAAATTCAAAACAGCTCTCAAGAGTCAAAGTCTTCATACTGTTCAACCTATAAATCTCCCTGTTTGGTTGTATAGTGTCAGGAGAAGGTGTTGAGACATCTTGTCTAAATCCATCTAGTAGAACTAACAACTGTAGGTTCACTTAATCAATTAAACTTACACAAGCGCTTACTTTTCAAATCCTCACAGATTTAATGGGACTCTTCCATCTTGAGCTAACAACTGAATTTAGCTCTTTATCTTTGTTCTCTACTCTACTGCTCTGAAAAAGAGCCCTGAAATTGTTATGGGTATTTGAAGTTTTTATCTTCTGAACTGTCTGTAACAGTGATTGTGAAGAAGTAAAGGCACCAGTTCCTGTATGATCCTATAAACTAAGCAGGATCAGCTCTGATTAGTACTTAAATGAGAGGCCATCAATGAATAACAGAGGAAGGAGCTGGCAAAATCAGCTCTGAGAATTCCTTGCCTAAGAAAATCCTATGAAATTCATGGGTCACCATAAATCAACTGGTGACTTGAAGACACACATACACACACATATACAGCAACTAAACTGCTGTAGAAAGAATGTATGACTCCACCACTCCTCCACCCATCTACTAGGTTCATTTCTTTGGGGACGGGGGAAGGCTCTATCCTAATTCCATACTGGGCAGAAGAAAGGAGACTTCTTTTCATCTATCACCATCAGAGAACGTGGTATCTTACATGGCATCTTTAAAATACCATTCCTCAGATATGATCAATTTTAGTGGGTTTGTGTATCACTATGACAAAGAATCACAAATATTGCTTTGTTTCAAATAACAGCACCAATAACATAGTTTGGCTACCTTACCGAAGGCCAGACCACAGCTCCATAATTGTCAATACCTTCCCTAATCTTTATCTTATGACCAGCAAAAGTAAATTCTTCCCAGGGTTGGGTGGTTATCACTGAAGGAGAGAAACATCTCCCCATGATTTCTGCAACTATCTCTTCATCTCCATTTTGTCCTAGTAACAAAACAAGAATAAGATTACATAGCATAACAATACTGAGAGGTAGCCAAGATAAGAATATTGAACTACTTGCCAAGCTATTAACCTCCATTTCAGCATACAGTGCTCTTAGCCACCAAACCATTTGAGCTAAGCCACTGCCCATAAATGTTCCAAGCAAGGAATTGTTTAGTATGATATATATAGCCAAGAGGAATTGTTATCCATCATGCTTGCTTACTATATATAAAACTGTAACAATAGAAGGTCATTCCTCCCTTCTTCAGTACCAATGAAGGAAAGAGCCATTTCACACTATCCAATTATAGCACTATTATTTTTACTTTAACTGCCATGGCAACGTCCTATGAAATCCTTGAGCTTGTAGTTTGGTGAAGCACTACAATTTTCTGGCTGAGAATTGTAAATACTTCTCCTTCAATTGCAAATCTCAGGTTTCTGTAGGATGTTGCCATAATAGTTCAAGTGGAATCAAAGTGTGGAAGAGTCTAAAAAAAATAGTGTGGAAGAGTCTAAAAAAAAACTTAGAAAAGTTGTAATATTCTTGTTGCTGGTTTAAATATCAGGAAAAGAACAAAAGTAGAATATATAAAAATGATATTAAGGACAATATCAGCCATTTCAGACCTGCCCTACAAACACAAGCTCATATGTTCCACTGTAAATAATTTAAGAAGGTAGTTTTTTTGAGGTCTATTTCCACACAGAGTGACACATATGCAATTAAAGATGTCCACATTTTTTATTCTGCTTTTGCTAAGAATCTAATAGACCACTGTTCTGTTTTACAAAAGCTGCAAGATACAGATTGTGCATCCCTTATCTGGAATTCCAAAACCCAAAATTCTCCCAAATCCAAAATTGTCTACATGAGTGGCTGAGACAGTGACACATTTGCTTTCTAATATTTCGGTACATACACATTTTATTTTATGTTCAAAGTTACTTAAAAACAATGTAAAAACCCTCAGTTATGGGTGTCATCATGCGCAGCATGGCAAATCCATGGGGCGGGGGGGGGGGGGGGGGAATGAAGCATCCTAAAATGCTGCCAGGATGCTTCCTCAACGGAGCCCCACTCCAAGTAGCCTTACATGTGATGGTGTCTGGTGGGCTTTGTGGGGGAAGTGTCTGACAGCATTTCAGGAGGCTTTATTCTGTCTTTGTGATGAGGTGTTAAGTGTATGAGGCATATATGTGATACACATGCATTTTGTATTTAGAATGAGGTCTTATTTCTATAATATATCATTGTGTAGATATATAAAAATAGGGGTATTCCAAAATATGAAGAAAAAATCCAAAAACTTCTGTAATCACAAACATTTTGAATAAAATATATTCAACACAATAAACATGTTACTGTTCTAAATGGGTATAGGATATTTATTTATTTATATTCTTCTTCCTAAATGGCATATATCAGGATTCAATAGGACACTGCCATGGTAGACAAGGTGGAATGATATTGGTATTATTGCATGGCGTGAACAAACGGAGTGACTTTAGAGACAGCAGAAATCAAGATGTCAAGGATTTGGGGTAAAGGATCCAGCTATGTTCTCAAGTGTCTCACTAAAGCTCTCTCAAACAGTTCCAGCTTTCATCTACAGAAACCTTAGATTGTGGCGAAGTGGTTTATGTAGCACATGACCAGAGAGAGTTTGGCTTTTTGACAGCACATTCCTTCTATGGCATAGTGGCAATATAAACCCACATCACAGCTGAAATAGTACGAAGGCCAGATGACAATAGATTCGTGCAGTGTCACGACTCCAAAATCACCCCTCCCACTCTCCTCCCTCCCTCCCCCTCTCTCTCTCTCTCTCTCTCTCCCACCCCCCCATCCCCCCCCCCCCCCCCCCCTCACCCTGACCTTCCTCCCTCCCTCCTTCCCTCTCCCTCCCCCCCCCCCCCCCCCCTCTCTCTCTCTCCTGCGAGGGGTGTGTTGGGGTTCAGCCTGAGTTTGAACTTGAACCTGATTCTCTGTTTGTTCCTCCTGATGCTAATGAAAGTATATTTACTGATGCTAGTGGAAATGTACCTTTTGATGCCAATGCTCCTGAAATTAGTGAGGAAGAAACTGCTGTAGGTTTGGAAAATGCCAATGTTCCTGAAATTAGTGAGGAAGGAACTTCTGTAGATTTGGAAAATGAAAGTACCAGTGTTCATGAGAATGTTTCAGAGGGAGACCTTGAACTTTCCCTCCCTTCTGCACCTGTTAACTGTAATGACAACAGAAGGGGCCAAATTTGGGAAGACAGAAGTAAATCACTCAGTTTGCGTCGATCCTCCCGAATTCAAGAATTAAAAACATTGGCTTCAAAACAGAAGGGCGGTTCACGGAACCAATTCTTGAGTTTTAATTGCAATACGCCGAGCTGATTGTCTCAGTTCAGGCATCGTTTCAGAATTGATGAAGACCTTGGCAGTTCTCCCGATTCCCTGGCCATAGTTTGGGAAGATTTCTAGGATATCAAGTACGGTTAGTGGATTGCTAACAGATTCCAGTATTTCCCAGTGAGGCTTTTGGTTTTGCTTTGTCCATTTAAATTCATGTTTGCTGATTTTGCTGTGGCTTTTGACTTTATTTTGTAACCATTTTTCTTCAATAAAAAAGGATTGTTTTTCACAGCCAAGTGTGGTGGATAGTTATCTTAGGGCCTTGTTCCCTGCTCTGGATTGCAACAGGATCCCTAGATGTTCTTGGCTTGGCCCAAGCAAAGAAACCCCTGGACTCTTGGCCTTCTTCCCCACATTATGGCCTTTAAGTGAAGCCTGGGAAAATGGAGTGAAAGGTTTGGGAAGAGCAACATGTTGGTTGAGTTTGGGGAAACGGGCAGGGATCCAGGAAGCAAGTCTTTCTTTCTCCCCTTTATCAGTATTTTGCACATATACATACATACCCACACATCCAGGGCTGTATTAAGCTTTCAGCAAAATAATTGTTGTTGTTGTTGTTGTTGTTGTTTAGGCCTCATTTTCAACACTTAAATGAAACTTTCTGAAAGTTGGGAGGGGAAAAAGAGAGGGGAGTGGTGAACTGGAGTAGGAGTCAATCAAAATTAAGCGAAGAGGGAGCTGGAGAAGGAGTGACCCACAGACGTTTAATTTTAAAAAATATTGGCCTTTTACTACTGCCAAGTTGTGCAGGGCTGCTTTCAAGTTCACACGTAGACTGGTGTTTAAAGGTATGATGGGGTGGTAGCGTATGTTACTTCTTAGCCTGCAGGGAGAGGCAGGTAATTATAAATAATAATTGTTGTTATGATTATTTGTTTATATGGTTTATTGTACCGTATATTTCGGGGTACAAGACGACTTTCTAAGCCAGGAAAATCATCTCAAAAGTGGGGAGTTGTCTTGTACCCCGGTATAAATTTTTTTGGATCATTTTTCCCTCGTGTCCCTCGCCCTTGGCGTCCCCGCGTGGTGGAGCCTGAGGAGGAGGGAGGGAGGGAGGGAGGGAGGGAGGGAGGGAGGGGGCGAGGAGGAGCAGCGGCAGGCTTCGCTACCAAGCTGGCAGCATGGTAGCCTACTGGGCTGTCTTCACCCTCTCCGGCATTGACTTGGCTCCGCCTCCGCCCTCTAATCCCAGAACAGCTGCTGCAGGAGCCAAAGACGGAGGGGTGGGGCCTCTGGCTACTCCGGCCCACCCCCGCGGAGGGTCCCGCCCCCGGTCCCACCCCTCCGCGGAGGCTTCAACTCCTGCTGCTTTACCAGGCCGGCGTGGGGTGTTTGCATGCTGTACTGTCCCCTCCGCCACTGGTCTGCTGCTAGCTCTGCCTCTGGCCTCAAAGTTCAGAGCAATTGCTGAGGGAACCAAAACCGGAGCGTGGGCGGGGCTGCGAGGGGCGGGGTCCTCTTCTCCCACTGCCTCCCCGCTCTGGTTTTCGTTCCCTCGGCAGTTGCTCTGGCTTTGAGGCTAGAGGCAGAGCTAGCAGCAGACCAGTGGCGGAGGGGACAGAACAGCATGCAAACACCCCACGCCGGCCTGGTAAAGCAGCAGGAGCTGAAGCCGGAGCGGGGGGGCGGAACTGGGGGGCGGGGCCCTCTGGGGGGCGGAGCAGCCAGAGGCCCCGCCCCCACCCCTCTGGCTTTGGCTCCCTCCTGCAGCAGCTGTTCTGAGATGGAGGCCGGAGGCGGAGCCAAGTCAATGCCGGCGAGGGTAACAGTAGGCTACCATGCTGCCAGATTGGTAGCAAAGGCTGCCGCTCCTCCTCCTCGCCCCCTCCCTCCCTGCGCCCTCCCTATGACTTCCTCTCACATATTTATACCCAGCTCTTTAAGCCACCCCTCATAGGGCTTGTCCTCCAAACCCTTGATCTGCTCTCTCCTCCCTATGACTTCCTCTCACATATTTATACATGGCTCTCATCATGTCTCCTCTCAGCCTTCTCTTCTTCAGACTAAACATACCCAGCTCTTTAAGCCACTCCTCATAGGGCTTGTTCTCCAGACCCTTGATCTGCTCTCTCCTCCCTATGACTTCTTCTCACATATTTATACATGGCTCTCATCATGTCTCCTCTCAGCCTTCTCTTCTTCAAGCTAAACATACCCAGCTCTTTAAGCCACTCCTCATAGGGCTTGTTCTCCAGACCCTTGATCTGCTCTCTCCTCCCTATGACTCCCTCTCACATATTTATACATGGCTCTCATCATGTCCCCTCTCAGCCTTCTGCTTCTTCAGACTAAACATACCCAGCTCTTTAAGCCACTCCTCATAGGGCTTGTTCTCCAGACCCTTGATCTGCTCTCTCCTCCCTATGACTTCTTCTCACATATTTATACATGGCTCTCATCATGTCTCCTCTCAGCCTTCTCTTCTTCAGACTAAACATACCCAGCTCTTTAAGCCACTCCTCATAGGGCTTGTTCTCCAGACCCTTGATCTGTTCTCTCCTCCCTATGACTTCTTCTCACATATTTATACATGGCTCTCATCATGTCTCCTCTCAGCCTTCTCTTCTTCAGACTAAACATGCCCAGCT